TCTTGGAGTCTGTGATGTAGCAGTTAGTGTTAAACACTTCACTGTCGAACGCAGGAGACTTGAGTTCGGTTCCCGAATGGGAAGAAAATGTTAATCGAGTATCTCGGTCTATCTCCTGGGATATTATATCCCTCTCAGCTTGGGCTGGTCCTGACAGACATGGTCAGAAAACCACCTCCTAAATAGTCTAAACTGTGTCGATGGGGGCGTAAAAACACCTATATTAGAAAAAAACAGCAACTGATCTTTTAGCCAATCCTTTTCCTTGCAATAGGCCTATAATTTCCAACAAACAAAACAGACTTTGACTTTGTTCTCGCTGGGGTGGATAGATAACAAGTCGACTTACCTGCATGAAACCATTTACTGTTGACATAAATAATTGTAAGCTTATCGTATAGAACTGTTTTACGACCCCATAGACAAAGAAGTATAGATGGTGGGCTGCTTCGACCTCCTGTCTGTTCAGATTAGCCCGGACTATGTGGGACACACACCAGAAGCCATACAACAATACTACTCTACACAATACAGTCGAACCTACTTGAACGGCCACCTGTATAAGACAATCACCTTACAAACGATCACTACCCATTACCTTAATCGAGATTTTTTCAAACATTATAAAATGACATTGTGTAAGACGAGCATCAGACTAAGACAACTACTTTTCTCCTCAACAATGAGTGGCCATCCTAGGCAAAACCTTGAGATGGAATCCGCAAGAGAGGAGGAAGATAGGAAGGCCGAGATCCACCGAGGTACGAGATCTGGAGGTGGATCTCAACCAGAAGGGGCACAGCTGACTTGAGGTCGAGAAGATCGCCCAGAACAAAGATGGATGAAGAGCCCTTCTTGGTGGCCTATACTCAAGGACCATAGAGTATGATTTATAAACTTCTTGAATATACCTAGTACCAGGGTGAAAGAGGTCCTCTCTCTCTCTCTCTCTCTCTCTCTCTCTCTCTCTCTCTCTCTCTCTCTCTCTCTCTCTCTCTCCCTCTCTCTCTCTCTCTCTCCCTCTCTCTTACACACACACACACACACACACACATACACACACACACACACACACACACACACAATTACACAATTACACACAAAAACAGAGAGAGCGAGATAGAGAGAGAGAGAGAGAGAGAGAGAGAGGGAGAGAGAGAGAGAGAGAGAAAGAGAGGGGGAGAGACAGGGAGGAAGGAATACGATTTGAGTGAAACACCCTTCTTGGTCGTTTCGTAGGCTGAGTGCGACCCCCAAGGAATAAGAAGAGACAGCATAAAAGAAACACAGAAGTAAAATTATAATATCAGCTGAAGTACATTTGGGGCACATTTGGTCACGTTTACGCGTGTGCAAGGGCACGCATGCACGCCTGAAAACTTTCTTAAGACAATGACTCTCTTCTGAATAAACAATGTACCACAGTTGCCTTTTAGATGAGAACACAGAGCTGTACCCACTAAATTATGTGCAGTACACTAAAATATTCCAAAATGCCAGTGTGCAGAGGCGGACCAAACTGTGGAACACATTGTTCAACACTGCAAGACACGCAGGGCCCTGACTGAGCAAGACGGCCCCTTATGTGATAGACACCGAACTTCAAGTGTGATGCAATTGAGAAAAAGAAGAAGAAGACTAAAAGATTCACTTTGACAAATCATGACGTATTAGGAGACTGTCACACGTTTTATTGGTCCCTCGCGGAAAATACTACTAAAAGTACACCAAAAGTGAACAAACATGACCGATATAAGAAAAAAGTATCATCACAAAAAACCCAGAATCATCTTGGCAAAGACTGAGAACTACGACTTCAAATGTTTCTAGTGGCAGACTTTTGGGGCATATAAAAATAATTTTGCCATCCTGGCTTAAAACGGAAAGTTAAGGAGCCGTTAGCTTAGTCGCTGGTTTTACTTCTCCATGGTGTTCTTTTTATTGCTTCTTTTCCTTGTCGCAATCTGAAAGGGACGTCATAGTTAGCCTTGTCACTCTGTGACGCCATAGCCTCCACTGTCTCTGAAACACCCTCATCACATTTCCACATGATTTCATAGCGCTCCCTCCACCACCCCCTCCCCCTCAAAATCACCAAATCCCCCCCACCTCC